TAGGTTGTGATAGAAGGTATCCTTGACTGTATCCGGGCTACAGTCTGTGGGAGCGTATGCAGAGACCACGAATAAGCATCGTTCATTTGGTTTGGAAAATATTTTAAAGGTTTTAGATGAACGTCGGTAAATAACTGCGGAAGGAAACCTATCGCCACGTCTGCCTCAGTGAATCAAAACTAGCAACAACCTTACATATTGTGTATTATTAAAGAGCAAGTGTACAATATTTTATCGTGTCCAAGTTATTAACCGGGTACTGACGTCGGATTTGATTATTAAAACAGCCCTATCCTCGTGCAAGGATAGCGGTGTCGATTTACTCCCATGAGGCAAACTGTCTGATCTAGAGTATGCAGACCACATTGTGCTGCTAAGTGAAGATCTAGGTAAGTTACAAGCTTTTCTGGATAACTTGGATGCCAGCTTAGCCTCTTATTCAGTATGCGTTCTGCACCTTCAAAGTGTAAAATGTTCCTACAAGAATGGGTTGGTCCCGCACCCAGCCTCACTCTAACTGGGCAAGTAATAGGGCAGATGGATAAGTTTTGTTATTTGGGCAGCTACATCTCACCCGGTGGACGCATCCCGGATGAAGTGTCTGCTCGCATACAGAAGGCTCGATTGGCATTTGCCAACTCGAGATATCTGTGGCGCCGTCGCGACATCCGGCTGTCTGTGAAGGGTTGAGTGTATGCCGCGACGGTTCGGCCAGTCCTGCTATACGGTGCAGAAACTTGGTCATTGAGAAAACAGGACAAAGATAGACTGTCAGTGTTTGAACACCGCTGTCTACGCAGCATTGCACGAATCTGGTGGGGTAGCCGGATGAGCAATGCTGAGGTTAAGGGCAGAGTTTTGGGTATCCGTGGTTGCCCACTGGAGCAAGTGGTCGACCTCCATAGATTACGTTGGTTGGGATATGTGTTACGTATGTCGCCAGATAGGTTGCCGCAGCGAACGATGTTTGCCAAGGCTGGTAGCGATTGGAAAAAGATAAAGGGTGGTCAAACTAAGACCTGGCATGAGGGTATGAAAACCCTAACCAGGAGATTGGGTCACATAGGTCCTGTTAGGCTCCCTGGATGGGGACCTCGGGATGATCGTAACCGATGGTTAGAGACACTAAGTGATATGGCGGGGTATCGCAAACAGTGGCGTTCGTGCATCTTCTCAATTTCTTTGCAACCTTAGACCACTGAACTTCTGCATTTTCTGTTCGACTCCACTTTCAAGTTTCCTTCTCCTATTCTTCATCCACAAAAGACGGCAACCACAACCGGCGCACGAATATGCGTGGTAATGGTTGTACAAACTGAACTGAACCGAGAGACTCGAATTCCTCAATGAAGACCTCGAGATCATGGTATGCGGTGGTTAATAACCCGGTATAATCTAACTGAGTGTCGCAGACGGTGGCTGTCGTGCATCCACTTATCCTTGCATTTTCGGTATATTTGAGTTCTCTGTTTTCGCTTCAACTCTACTCTAAACATTGCAATCTTCGTTCCTTATCAAAATGGCAGCTGCAAGACAGCAACCAAAACCATCGCACAAAGGTGCGTGTTAAATGGTAATTAAAACTGAACTGAACAGCAATACTAAACGCATGCATCGACAAAAATTTAGGAATGTGTTTAGTTTATCAGATGAAACAGCTGTGAGCATCGGGTTTTCTATATAGGTAGTTCTCGGTTAGTTTAGTATAGGGCTGTTCAGTAAAGTTTTTGCTACGGAAGTAGTGTTTCATGTCCTATCATGTTCCGGTCGAAAAATTGGCACTGCAAATTCATATATGTAGAGTTCACTGCTGCGTTCATCTTAGAATCGTTTTCTCTTGTTGTCAGACTGACAGTATTTCACCCCTAATTTAGTGGTGAAACGATTTTTCGTTTTAAGATTGTTTTACCGGGATTTGTTTAGTACTCAGTCTGTACTCAGACGCTTGTTAAATGTAATAACAATGTAATTCGGTCTGACCTTCATGAATTATCAAGTAATTAGTTTACCCCCTTCCCACCCACCCTAAAAAAAGAACCATTATATTGTGTTCGGGTGTGGAACTAACTTTTTCCTGGTAGGTACAAGTATTCACTTGTCCAAAAGGGACCAACAATTTTGTCCCGCTACTTCCCTTCAATTTCCAGTTTATTTCTCGTTCATTACGTTACCAGTTGTTCAATTTCAGACTAGCACGGTGACCAAAAATCCGAATGATGGATACAATTCATATTTCTTCTCCGGAGAATTTTTTATTGCCACCAATCTGGGATAATGATGATGCTATGTTTTTGCTGATGCAACCTATCAGGCGACCGAAACATATCGATCCTGAAGCTTACAATAAGAAAATCAAATTTTGGACAGATCTTATCGTGGATTATGCAAAACGACAGCGTGTTTCCGTGGTTAGCATTCAATCGTTGCAAACAGTATTTTCACGTTACTTCTTGGAAGAAGGCATACACATGAGTCCACAGTGTCTACCGGAAGTGTTTACGTCCCTTATGGAATCTGGAAAACTAGAATGTATCGAAGATTCCTCGAGCTTGGTTCATACGATACTAAAGACGAGCTTCAACTATCTCATAAAAGCTCCTCTAGACTGGACTTTTCGAATTGCATTTGGGTAGGTTCGATGTTCTTTCTTCTTACTTTATAGCGACACAAGCACATCCGGTAAACCCAGTGCTGGTAGTGGCACTAGTACTGTTACATTGGACCCAGAACAGCATTACGCATTCACGGACCTGAGTGAAGATCTAGCATCTCAATTTATTGCTTACTTTGTGAAAAAGTACGAAAGTCAACGTCTGACTTTCCGGTTGCCTGTCTACGAGTTATGCGATTTTGAAAAAGGCTTAATAGAATTTTTCCCGCACGATGCAACGCGTGAATACATCAAGAAACTTTGCACCGATGTTTTCTGCTGTGTACGGTTCGAATCAGTCTGTGATTCAGAAGGAACTTGGAAATCCCAGGTAAGTTTTCCTTAATCATTTCTTTTCGTAGTACTTACTCATTGGTTTTGTGTACAATATTTCGATCGGTTCCATTTAACTCTGGCATCCTACAACGTTGCATGCCTTTTCTGACTTTATTCACCCTAACCATTGACGATATTCTATACTCGAAAATCTGGATTCTGTCTAACCTTTTGCTGATGATGCTACTCTGAATGGTCCTCTTCATTGTGCTTACCCCGTCACCTTCACTCTCGATCGATTGTTTGCGTAGAGTCCGCTTATTCAAACCGATGTCCCATCACTGCTCCAAGAGCTGAAAGCCGAGTTTTCTATATTGCGAAAATCTCTTCAATGTCTGTTATATTCCTCAAGTGCTGTACGATGGTTGTTGATGATGATGATGAACGTTCGAAGATTCAATGTAGTCTCTTTGTTTGGAGTGTATCTTGCAATAGAGTGCGTGATTTCTGGCTATTAGACAATTCGTATGTACTTCGGTGTCACTTGGTTTTGGTCTCTTTTTATTCACGCACTCTATCTCTCAGGTGGTGCGTGTGACCAATGATGTAGATTGCCCAGTTCCATCAAAAACAGCGGATTACAAAACAGAACTGTCCATTCTGGGTGGTTTAGCGCATATCCGCACGGTGATCAGACAGCTTGAGGCTGAGGAGCAGAAATTAACCACAGAAATCGAAGAACGGCGCAATCGGATCAAAGCACTTATGAAGCAAAATCGGTGCGTTCTTCCTTTAAAATGATTTTGTCTTTACTTGTTGGTTGATTTAGTTTCTAGTAATTTTTTATTGCTATCTTCCAGTTGGTGATATCCACTATCGGTTATTTGGGCTATCAAAACGAAAGCGTCTTTGACGTTAGTTGATACTTCATTTTAAGTGTCAAAATTAACTCTTTTGTGGAAAAATAATTACGCTGATTTGTAACGAAATAGGTTCTTTGGGGCTTTGAAAAAGCCATGCCATTGTGACCAACCCCATGGATTGTATACTGCCGTATGGCCTAGGGATTCTGCAAACACGGCGTGGAGCTTATACTCCATTGGTGTTTTGATAAAGACTCGAGTGGAGGGGGGGACACTGCACTAGTGAGTAACTTCATCAATTGAAGTCAATAGTAGCTTCATGCATCCGGATGGGTGAATTTTCAGCATCTACACCATATTTGTGGATTCAAATTTACAAAGTCATTACATAATAAAACTGAAAGCAATCGTTCATTGATGTTTGGACCTATGCAATTTAATGTTCCGATATATGATATTTGTTGTAGTTGATTTATAATCTCCAGTTGTTTCAGAGTTTTTAGGTTAAATTACCGATAAAGTTTAATCAACTTGTCTTATCTTTAGAAACCACGTGACTAAGTTCTGTTCCGTAGACCATCTCGCATTACTGAATCATAAATGAGAGTAAAATCGATTGATCTCAGTTGAATTGCGCTGTACGGCAGAATGAGCAAAAACATCTGTAGGAATATCGAATCTTATCATCGGGATGAACAAGTGTAACAATCACTCGATCGCTACTAGGAATATCCGATGACATCCATGATACGTTATTCACACCAACATCGTGTTACCGCGTGATACACGTACAGGATATTTCACTTCTCTGTTCATTAGCGAATGACCCAAACAACTCTCGCATTCCTCGCGGGTGATGCGCGAAGCAATTTTCCCGCGAAACGATATTAATTGTTCAATTCACATAGTTACTGCAAAGCCTGCTCTTTTGGTTTATGTGATCGTAANTAAGCCGATTTATAAGTGTTTAATGCTTTATCGCCGAGCGTTGTTACATATGGTCAGACGATCACTGGAGAAGTCGATTTTTTTTTATTAGGATTCTCACATACGGGTTTAAAAATGTATCAAATAAAAGAAGATAAAGATAGGTGAGAGACCTCTCGAAAGCCATCAAAGCGGATCTGCAGAGATTGAACGCCGCTTATGTACGTGCATTGTTGGTCAACAGATATTGTCGCAATACTTGGAAAATGTTGTTTTAGTTCTACAGTCTCAAAACGAACGCGAATCTACTAACTGCCAAAGTGGACGATTTCAATCGCCAATTTAGTAATGCTGAAACTGACTCTCCTGTTCTATGCACAGCAGTCGTCCCTCCCCTTAGTGCTGCTGATTTTATTACGGACCAAACAGAAGTTTTTGTATTGCGTATAACTTTTGCAAGCACTGGAGCTCACATTTCAGTTAAAAAATCATACACGCCAACCGTCACAATGTACACAATCATACATGGGGGCATTTCATAATCTAAGGTTAAGACAAAGTTCACTTCTTGTCCGCCTTTTGTTTGTGAGTAAACGAGCAAGATACGGTGTGGCTGAATTGCGGTAAGCGTTAATTCGAGATGAAATTTGGCGGAATTGGGAGCGTGTGCAATGATGGGAACGACAGCGTGTCAGTTCTGCGTGCAATGGGTGGTCAGGACCTGTGAGGATCCTCTCAGCAAATTTAATTAATCTAAAGTCTAATAAAGCATGTGGTTCTGACGGGCCGCCACATGTGGTGATCAAATAATGTGCAGTGTCCCGCTCCCCTGTTTTCGACCGACCTGTTTCACTTGTGCTTTACTTAGCATGGTATTCCTCTCTGCTTGAGAGTGACCTTTATCACGTGTGTACCCAAAAAAGGGAACGCCTAGATTTCGCCCAGTGGTTTGCACTTCTGTTGGTTTGAAAGTTATAGAAAATACTTCAGTACAGCTGGATACACCTCATCCCACTCAATTTGCCTATCACAGCTCCAGGTGAATCCTCGATGAGCTGGCATCCCTCGTTCATTTTCATTCTTTCTTCCTTGGACGAAAAAGTAAAGTTATTTGGTTGTTTATTTGATTATAGTGACGCTTTCAACTATGTTGATAGGACAAAACTTCTACATACTCCCTCCAAGAAGGGTATTCAGCCGCGGCGTATTAATTTATTACATAATTAATCCACCCCTCTCCTACGGTATACAAACTATAAGGGTCACAACTCTTCACTTTTACCCTCCACTCAAGGAGTTCCTCAAGGTGTTATTCTTTCTCCCTTTCTGCTCACATCCTTCGTTTCTTCCATGCCTGCTTTTATGACTTTTTGCTCATTAAGTATGGTGAGGATGTTGTGTATGGCATGAAGTTGTCAAATCCCTATATGTATCCCAAACTTAGGTTTAGCATTTCATTGCTCACCGATTGGCCTTCACATTACAACCTTGGAATGGATTCTTCCAAGTGTAAAGATGTCTTATTTTCTTTGCTGAATGATGACAAATAAACTGATGCCATCAACTCTTGCCATCATATCGTCGTCAATGGAGAACAGGTTTCCAGAGGGTGCTCCGTCAAACACCTCGGAATTACCATTTTCCATAACTTTTTTGGTGTTCTCATGTCTTCCAAACTGCTCAAGATTCTATCTACCCCAACTCACTGAATAAAGTGTTTTGTCTTCTCTTGTATCGTTCCCCATTGGCTTTATGCATCTCCATTTATTTTTCGGGGTCTTTTTAATCAAAGACTTCAAAGGCATTCGTGCATCCATCAAACAAGTATGGCGATACAATGGTATATCTCGCGAACATATTGTGTGGTTTATGATTTCACAGCACTTTGGGGTTTGTCGGAAACTTCCTACCGGAAAATGTATCTCTACATCTAGCACCAAGCTCCAAGTATAAGCATATGGCATCTTCACGATATACAAGTCTTCTGTAATACCCTACTTGGCACGGTTTCTTCCTATCGTCGATCGTGTCACTGAAAACCTTAAAATTTGCTGAATTTGTTTGCATATGCAGTGTATCGTCATTCTTTGTGTTTCCAACCTGCCATTCCCAATGCAGGAGTGATTATGTGGTAGCTGAATATTCATCCCCTATGGGGCGAATTAAATCGGCTTATTGATTTGAATAGTCCCAAAAGGTTGTATGAATTTTTGAAACGAAGAATCGTTGAATTTAAGTTTAATGGAAGGGAGAAATATCCAATTTTCAGAGTAATAAACAAGATTGGATTGATCGGCATTAAAGAGAATATTATTAAGTCCCCCCCCCCCCCTAAGCAGAAATAAGTCCATGCTTGGAATCCAGGGAGATACTGAAGAAGAAATAATCATCAGTAATACTGGAGTACATGAAGAGTAACAGACAGAGAAGAGTGCAGAGTGACGTCATCGACAAAGGCATGATTAGGATTGAAAATCGGGGAAAGTCATCCATAAAAACCTGAAGAAGTGAGTTGATAAAGCACATAACCTTGAGGGGACATCAGCACTCACAAACACACAACGAGACATGGTCCCGTCTGCTCCGTCAGAAGTACTGCGGCCCTGGAAATAGCTTTCTGTCTCGGACAAATTCCGTGGAAAGCGAAACTTATCCAGGAGACCTGCTTGCCGGACGCGATCAAAAGCTTTTGATATGTCCAGTGATACCATATGACTTTCTCCCTGATTGTCGAACGCAGCTGATCAGAAAATCACCGGTAGATCGATCACGCACGAAACCGTACTGACGGTCGCAAAACATCGTGTTTTATTCTGGGTGGCGGTGGATTTGATCAGCGATGGTTGAATCCTTAAAGTTGAAGATAATTGTGGGAGAGACAAAGCGGTAATTTTTTTTGGGGGGGGGGGGGNAGCGGGCTGGGCAATGATAATTGGGCTACTGCTCAGATATCCCAACCTTTGTTTAACTCTTGGTCTTCCGTATCCAGTTCGCTGTATTTGCCCCTCCTTCGGACCTGTAATAATCTCTCAAACAACTTTGATGTCGCTCACCTAAGGTCGTTGCCAAAAACACTAATTAATTTACAACAAAATGGATCTCAGATTCTAAAGCCTCATCAATCACTGAATCTGGGTGCCTTCAAAGTGAGGACCCTGATGCAGATAGGTCAACAAGCTTGTCTGGCTCGTACAATGGAATCCTTAGGGATCGATATTTGCTGCGTGTCGGCAACTCAAATCCAGGATCCTACTACCATAAGCCACTTGAGCGTGCCAGATTTGTCGACGCGATACGTTCTTCGCACATCAGTCGACGATGAACCTCGTTTAGTAGGTCAGTGCAGGGTAGGTATTGTACTCAGTAACAGGGCGGAGTCCTCTTTTATCGACGGGATTGTCGTCTATAGTCGATTATGTGCAGCTCGTCTTCGGGCTTCAATCAGCGTCCTGAAGGGAAGCAACACCAAAAGGTGTTTGCTCATTGTATCGGCATGTGCACTGACCAATTGCGGTTTCGATACACAAAAGGACGCTTTCTACGATGAACTCATCGATCTCATTCGGATGAGTCGAAGCTCCGACATAGTTGTACTTGCCGGTGACTTCAACGCGCAGATTGAAAAACTGAGCGCATCCGAAGCGTGCCTAGACGGTAGTTGTGCTCTGCCCTGCCAACGAACAGATAACGGCAATTGACCTCTGCAGTTCTGTGCAGACCATCATCTGTTCCTATTCAGTACCAACTTCCAACACAGCGGTCGACGGACGGCAACGTGGCGCTCCAGTTTAACTGGTACGATAACTCAAATCGGGCACATAGCAGTAAGCTACCGTTGGCATGGCTCAGTGCAAAATTGCAGGTCCTATTAGACCACCTGCGCTTAGTCTAACTACGGATTAGTTTTGATGCAGTTCACTCCACGAATGACTGGTCGGCGACGGATTCATCAAACTCGGATAGCTCATCATCGACTGTCTGTTCCAGTAGTTCGCGCACGCTGAGTCAGAG